GAGGCAAGGGATCTGTATTATTTTGAATTTTTCAAAAGACGAGAGGTGGTTCATCGCCATCTTTAAGTAGGAGGCCATGGTTTTATCCTTGGTTGAAAAATTGCCATTCACCTGGCTCACCACCAATTGGGAGTCACTGTTGACACATAGATGAAATAGGTTTTCAATTCATTTTTTGCTTTAGATAAATAATTAAAATTTGGTAGAATGAGTATAAGTATACTGATATTGGACTCATTTCGTAGCTTGCATTCAATAACGTATTTTCGACTCAAGAAAATGTAAGTTCTTATAAAGTTAATTACAAGTTATTTAAGTTCAAAGATACGTTTGTAACAAGTATTATTTCATTATTTAATTAGGAAAAGAAAGTAATATTTTATATTTAATCACTGTTTATCTTTTAAACTTTTTTGAAAAGAGAGATTGATTATCTTAACTATTATCTATCATTCCATTTTACTGTGTACGTAATCTGGATTGTTTGAAATATATATAAGAGAGAGAGAAAGAGAGAGAGAGGGGAAGGGGGGGGGGGAAGAGATTTAGTTGACTATGAGTTGATTGATGGATAGATAAAGTGGCTTCCCCTTATTTTTAGAAGAATATGGACACTTTCTGGGCATAATAGTACACTACACACATTTTTTTTGTGGCACTAAAAGAGTCTATTTCTTTTATTATAATTGCAATTTATGAATTGGCTTTTGGGAATTTATTTGCTGTCAAAAACGCGTGTTTTTGTTTGGTTGAGATAAATTGATTTCTTTTGATAAAGGTAAATCTGGAGTTGATTAGGTTAATTGCTGGTGGTTCGTAGTAACGTGAGTAATTTAGGTTAGTTTTGATAGGTATAAGCAAAATTTATCATTTATCAGATGGTGCTTTATGTAATTATCTCTTTTATTTTATAAGATTTACCATATTTGTTTTTTTAGCAAATTGGAGATTGAATTATGCATGTGTTAGTTGGCAATAAACAATTTAGGGAATTAACTAAATTGACACCACCTTTATTTAGGATAAAGGCTAATTTTAATTGCTTATTGAATTTGAATAGTGGGAAACCCCAAAATTTATGTTGTAGACTTGTAGTAGGCTGGAATAATGTTTATTAAATCATACGAAATTGCTTGGCACACGTTTTCTACCATCCCAATTTTACCAAAACTCTCTCATCTTTCTACTATAAATGTCATGTCAAAATCATTATTTTTTTCACCAACAAAACATACATATTGTAGAGAGAGAAATTATTTTGAAAAGTCAAATTTCGAGCGCACATTATTTGAATTCTCCATCTCATTTATATGTTGTAGCGAAGGAAATTTGGAAAAGTTTTGGAACGTTCAATTATATCTTCATTCAAAAACTCGTTTGATTTAACGAGGTATGATACTATGTGCAAGTGATTTGTCCTTGCAATATTATAATTTTTCTACGTGATTTGTTTCATGAAATGCTAATTGACCTGTGGGTCCCTATGAAATGAAATGTGAGATCTCCTTCGGGTCTTTTCAAATATGTTACAGTATTCGGTTGATCACTGATTGCTCTTGATGAAATGATGGTATGGAATGTTATAAATTCATGTTTTTAAAGTTATTATATTGTTTGGACGCATGTATCCTATTGAGTATAAGTTACCAATTCCTTCAATTTTAACATTTCAGGTTAGATCGGTTGGCGTGGATGGTGGCTGAGCGGTGCGCGGGTTGTCAAGTAAAGAGATTTTCAAGAAAACATTTAAAAATAATTCTTCTAGGACATTTCGTGTTTTCATTGATTTCCGTTTAACGTTTCATATTACTTGACGATATATTTATTTGATTTAGCTTTTGAGTTTTAAATAAATTAGGAGTTTTAAAGTTCCAATTTATATTTCCACTTAATGTATGTTTATGAAATGTTATTGGTAACACCTCAAATATAAGTCGATAAGATTTGGGGCGTTACAAAATTCCCGCATTTTCTCTTAACGTCTTCATCTTCTTTTCTATTCCAACTTCAAATTGTTGCTAACTTATGCGGCTTCCACATGTTCTTTTCCAAGAACAAATCCTTTTTCAAGGGGGACGCCCGAATATTCTTTTCGATAAGCTTTCTCCACACGATTGCTCGTGGTTATAATATAGTTTCTCATAGACAGCGCCAATCTGTTGATCCCAAAAAATGTTCCTAACAGATACCGGATCCACCCGCGTACACGTAAGCCTGATCCAACACGCTAAGACACGTGGACGGTCTAGAACTGGTAGGAGAACATTCAGAATTCGACGAAATGTTTGCATAACAATTGTTCAATAATTACCAATCGATGTTTTTAGAATATGTGTATGAATTTGTATATGCTGCAAGAGAGTAAAATGTAAAGAATGTTGTATTTGTTCGTGTTGAATCTTGCATTACCCTTGTGAGAGATGCATGGGGGGTATTTATAGTATTATAACTTAGATCGTGACCTTTGGTTGGGAGTACACGTGGCTTCATCTTGTAAGTCTACATGTCAAATTATAGGTATCATATTTGACGTCCTAGCCTGCTACACATTTATTAATTGGCGGCTTCGCCACTACATTGACAAGACATGATACTTGCACTCTATGATAGGTGTCCCATCAGTCAATCATCAAAGATCCTTGTGTAAGATCGGATCTTGGGGGGAGTGCTGCTTAGAGCCTCAAGGCCTCGAAGTGGAGGGCCTCAGCTAGAGGCCCACTTCGGTGTCAGCACTTGGGCCACGTCATAGGTGTTGTTATAATATGTTGGTCCTCCTGTTGGCCTGGGGGCCTTGGGTAAAATACCACGTGGTTCGGCAGAAGTGGGCCACAAGCCCCAGTGGACGGTCTAGAACTAGTAGCAAAAACGGGCGTGGGAGAGATTCAAAGGCGTGGGACGAGAACGTTCAGAATCCGGCGTGATGTTTGCATAACAATTGTTCAATAATTTGTTACAATTTTCTTACCAATATCTTACAATTCTCGAGGGCAACATTTTTTCTTGAACACTTTTTGCTCTAATAAATTCCAACTTTCACCTGGGGACAGGAGAGGAGGTTCAATAATAACCTGAGAAATGTTGGCATGAGTTGTCAATTAGAGCCAAATCAAAGAAGATTGTAGGCCATTTAGGATGATTGGAAATCCTTTCCTTCAATAACTATCCATAATTACAGCCATGAAATTTGTACAGCCGAGAATAGGTTGAAAATTCTCCCTATATGTTCTTGTGTTGAATAAATGTAAATCAGAAGATAAATAAATACAAAATACACTTCCTGACATGGTATCAGAGCTACAAACATAATTTGTTTCAAATTTTTTGGATTTCTCTTGGTTTAAAAACTCAGTTCTTAGGTTTTATCAGATTTTACATTCTCGTGGTTTCGAATTCTTTTGAGAGTTTTTTCTGAAATTTTGAACAGTTTTGTTGATTGTCCGACTTCTTAGCTCTGGAGAATTCTATTACCTTTTCTGCAACTGTCGAAAATTGTTGTTGCAGTAACATTGAATGATTGTTGACAGATCTGGTTGCTTCTCGTGTAGGTGGAAATCAATCATCTGGTTGTAGGCATCTTGGTTTAATTGGTAGATTCTGATTTCTGTGCCTTCTGGTTGTTGAAAATCGTCAGTGAATCCAGTGTCATTTTGGTGGCTCAATTGCAAGTATTTTCCAATCTTCGGACCTTTGACTTTAAATGTGAGTCTTGCATTTTGGCTAAAAGTCATTAGGTTTCCTATCCACTAAGTTTGTATAAGAGTGAAGTTCCTTTTGCCTCGATATATTCTGATTTGTGGGGTCATTCTCCAGTTTCTGATGCTTCTGGTATGCGCTAGTTTGTAACTTTTGTGGATGATTGTACACTTATGACATGGTTATATTTGCTCAAGACTAAAGATGAATTGCTACAAATATTCTGGTCTTTTCAAGTTATGATTCAGACTCACTTTTTTGAAAAATTCAGGTTATAAGATCTAATAATGGTGGGGAATATGATAACCACAAATTTCGAGCATACTTTCAACAATGTGCCATTATCCATGAAACTTCGTGTCCACAAACTCCTTAGCAAAATGAAGTTGCTAAGCGGAAGAATAGACACATTCTTAAGATGACTAGGGCGCTTTTACTCGGAGCTTGTGTACCTAAACGACATTGGGCTGCTGTTGTTTATCACATAAATCGCATGCCTTTTAAAGTCTTAGATTTTAAGACTTCCCTGCAGGCTCTCTCCAAATTTCTTGCACTACCTACTATCTTGATGCTTCCACCTAAGGTGTTCGGGTGTGTTGCATATGTTCATCTTCACAAGAATCAAAGAACCAAACTTGATCCATGTGCATTGTGGTGTCTTTTTTTGGGATATGCTGCTTACCAAAAAGGTTACCGGTGCTTTAATCCTACAATTCAGTGAACTTATATCACTATGGATGTCACTTTTGTGAAATCAAAAATTTTTTACTCACCTAATTCATCACATCAAGCGGAGACACGAGATGAAGCAATGAATTGGTTGAGTTGGGATTGGAAGAACTCTACGAACTACAGTTCTTATGAAAATGCAACTAACACGGAGTCACATGGTAATACGAGTACAATTTTAAGATATGAAGCCATTGGTACTCCAAGATTGGAGAACACAACACTAGGAATAGAAACAGAGGAACCTAGAAATAGAATTGAAGCTCCAGAAGTAGAAAGTGAAGGACCTCACTCTCCCCACTCTTCATTACCCGAAGACCCATCTCTTGAGAATATTACTGAGTTAAGTTCTAATAATATAACTCCAAATGATAACATGGATGTCTTTGCTAGTTATAACTTACCTTTCAAACATAATCGAGGCAAACCGCCTGACAAGTACTCACCTGAGGATAGGGAACGAAGGTCGAGATACCCAATTGCAAATTATGTGTCAGCAAAGGACCTATCTAAACCGCACTCTCCTTCTAAAGCATCGAATGGGCAAGATAACAACTTTGATAGTTTATGTTGACGATATGATAATTACAGGGGATGATACAGAAGAACTATCTCAACTTCAAAAGCGATTACCAACTGAATTCGAGATGAAGAACTTGGGAGGACTAAAATATCTCCTGGGAATAGAGGTAGCCGGGTCTAAACATGGCATATTCCGCTCACAAAGGAAATGTACTCTAGATTTGTTATCGGAAGTAGGAATGCTAGAATGTAAGCCTGCGGACACTCCAATGATGCAAAACCACAAACTGGGCGAATATCTGGACCAAATACCAATGGATAAGAGGAGATATCAAAGATTAGTTGGCAAGCTAATTTATCTCTCTCATACTCGACCTGACATTGCTTATGCTATAAGTGTAGTCAGTCAGTTTATGCACTGCCTAAGCGAGGATCACATGGATGCTGTAATTCGCATATTACGATACTTGAAGGGTTCCTCTGGGAAGGGGATCATATTTTCAAAAAACCATCACTTGAGGATTGACGGTTATACGGATGCAGATTGGGCAGGAAATATCTCAGATAGGAGGTCTACTTCGGGGTATTTCACATTTGTTGCTGGAAATCTAGTTACATGGAGGAGTGAAAAAACAAAAAAGTGGTAGCGTTCTCAAGTGCAGAGGTGGAGTTCCATGCAATGGCCAAAGGACTATGTGAGCTACTTTGGCTCAAACAGTTACTAACGGAGATTGGTTTTGCTCCTACTTCAGAGATTATTCTCTTTTGTGATAATAAAGCTGCCTCTCATAACCTAGTTCAACACGATAGGATTAGGCATGTGGAAGTGGACAGAAACTTTATGAAAGAGAACCTAGAATTCAAGATCAACAAAAATTTTCAATGTGTAAAGTCTGAAGACCAGCTAGTAGACATCCTTACCAAGGCTGTCTCGAATAAGGATTTTCACAACTCACTAGACAAGTTGTGCATTAGAGATCTCTCTGCATCAACTTGAGGAGAAGTGTTGGCATGAGTTGTGAATTAGAGGGAAATCAAAGAAGATTGGAGGCCATTTAAGATGATGGGAAATCCTTTCCTTCAATAATTATCCATAATTACAGCTATGAAATTTGTACAACCGAGAATAGGTTGAAAATTCTGCCTATATATTTTTGTATTTAATCATTGTAAATCAGAAAATAAATAATAAATACAAAATACACGTTCTGATAAGAAATTTTCGATGCCACATTTTTCAGCCGACTGGTGAACAATACTTTGCTTCCATTTTTGTCATCTGGAAATAACCTTTTCAAATCTTCCCACGCTTCTTTATCCCATAGATCGTCCATAACAATGAGGTATCTTCTACCCTTTAAACTTTTGTAAATATGTTCGTCCAACTCTTCATCTTCCATTTTTGAATTATCGTCTTTTTTAAGGTTACTCAAGGAGCTCCAAATATCGTTCAATAGCTTTTTCTTATAAGTTTGAGTAACAGCACACCAAGAAAGCTTATCAAAATAGTACCGAACGTTGGAATGATCGTATATTTTCTTTGCTAGAGTTGTCTTGCCAAGTCCACCCATTCCGACGATGGAAATAATCTGGAGGTAGTTTGGTCCTCCAACAAGCTTGCTAACAATTTGTGTTATCGTGTCCTCTAAGCCCACAATGATCTCTTCCACCATGGGAATGCTTTTATCTTAGGATGACGATACTTCACTTGGACTTTCTGCAACTTGTAGGCTTCCAATTCCAACTTCACTTGACACTGCAATGCTGTAATATTTAATCTTCAATAGAACACTCTCAATCCTTTCTAACAGAACAAAAATTGCTAGATCCATTTTGGTGGAGGTAACAAGATCTATGGTGAAAAAGAAAGAATGCAAGAAAAGTCCTGCTTCATTAAATACAGCTTCAATTTCTGTGAATATACTCTTCTTCTATTCTTCCTCATCGCTTGGAATTGGATAATCAAGAAAGGTGAGCAAAAAAGAATTCAACCCGTTCTGAAGAAATTTGACTTGATCACTCACAAGAACTGTAGAATCCTTTTGGCAACTAAGAAATTCTCGAATAGTTTCAAAAAGAAAGTCGAAGAAGATTTCCCAATGTATATTTACATTGGAATGTTTTTAGATGGGTGTTTGAATTATGAAAATCTTGTTAAACTCTCGCATGAAAGTGAGAAAGATTTCTAAAAAGTTTTCGTAATGTTCATTATCGAGATGAGAAAAGATCTCTCCGTATAAGATGCAATCCAAGGCTAAATCATCAAGACGATTCAATAGATCACGCAGGTTAGCATACTATATGGTCTGTAGCCATCTGGATCGAAGCATTGTAATACTTCTTTTGCATATTTGAGAAAAGTTAAAAAGTATGGGCCGAGTCATTGAAAGCTAACATCTTTTTCTCCTCCATCAAGCTTTAAAGCTTGATGATGAGAAAGGAGATCTGGGTTCATAACTAGATGTGACAAATTTTCGAAGGAAAGATCCTCCTTTTTGACTGAGAGAGATTGATTTAGAGAAATTTATCAAGTATTGTTGGGTTGGGCAGAGACTAGAGAGAGATTAATGAGAGTGAGTGTAATCACAAATCACAATATTGTTGGTTTGAGACAAAAGAGAGAGAGAAACAGAGAGACGATGTGACTGTGTGTATTCAAGGACAACTAATACATCTCTAATTACAACTAATATATCTCTAATTATATTTGGCTTCTCAATTCATTTTATTTTAAATGGCAAGTTGGTTGAAGCTACAAATTTACCTAGCAAATTTTTTTTTTTAATAATGGAAAATGGTGATCATCCATATTGAGATAATTATTTTTTGAGGAAAATGATGACCATCCATTTAAAATATTTTTTGATGACTGGTGTGGTAAACATTGGTTGCACATTAGTTGGTTAATGTTTAAAATAAATCCATTTGTAAACGTGTAATGTATTATAAGCTAGTTCAAATAAACTTACTCATCGTCTATTCTCTTTGTATATTTTTTTTCTTCGTATTTGATATTAATTGTATTTAACTTTTCATTAGAAATGTATTCTTAACTAAATTTAAGCAATGATTAAATGACTTGCTTTTATATTAGGTTATAAATGTTTTAGGAGCTTAAATAAAGAGTTAATTATTCATTCGTCGGAACATTTTAATTGTTCATTTTGATTTAAAAGTCATTGTTCACTTTGATTTAGATTTTAATTCAGATTTTTAGCTGAACCATCAGGGGCCATGTCTTATAATGACAAAGGTCAAAGATGTATGGGATTTGAGAGTAATAGAGATGGATATGGGTTTTAATGTTTCGATGCATTTTAGTATTAATCTATTGTCTTGAGGTTTTATATTACTCCAATCACTCGTGCTCTGTGGATTTCAGGCTTCTAGGATAATGAATTTAGGCTTTCAAACTTTTCATCCATTACTCCAGATCAATAGAATTTGGAAACGCCTTTTGTGAATGATACTAACACTTCGTTCTTCTCCAGGGATGATTTTGCTCAATCCAATTAGATGGAAACTGAAGAAATCGACACACTTGAGACCTTCTATGAGAGTTATCAAAAAAATACTCGTGCATTGGAATTTTTATAATTGGGCGATGGTAACACCTTGAACCCAATATTCCGATAACATTTTGATGTCTTTAGATGAAATAGTTCAACAATTGCATGAGGTCAAACTGCTTTTGACATAATAAAATTTACATTCACCTGCATGAGACTGCTGTATATATGGGGTAAAAATCAAATCAATTTTTTTCCCCAGGATCGCTAATTAGAACATGAAAAAAAATTACAAATTTTCTAATCTTAACTTTTTCCTATTTGACAAATTATCTTGGTGACATTGTTGAATGACTACATGTTGCATGAGATTATGGATGAGTAGTGATGGTGAAGGAGCTGAATTGATTGAAACCTCTTTTCATGGCTTTGTAGACATGGTCTAGGCCTACTTCAATTAACTCAAACAGAAAAGTAATAAGGTCGAAGGAAGTAGAAGAAAAATACACAAGAATGTCTTGTCTTTGCTAAAATGATCTTCACAACTTTAATGTTGTATAAGAAAATACTCTTGTACCGTACCGTCCCAACCCATTCAGCATTAAAACCTACAAGGCTAATGTCGTCGCTCAGCTCCATTCCGTTCGGTGAACTACACTCCCCTCACACTGCTTCGCTCCAGCATCGACCATTTTGATCCAATAAAATAACTAAGTTAAATGCAACGTTAGAATACAACTATAAGTTCAAAGCGTTAAATCGATGACTTGAATATGATGGGAGTTCCGCTCCGCTGTTTGCTATCCCTTATCGCATCCCCAACACCCATTCGAATCTCCAAAATCGTGAAATTACTCAAACTCTCTACCTTTACACACACCTCCGTTCCTAATTACTTTTTGAATTATTGTTGGTGCTAGGAAAATGTTGTAATTGGCAATCTGTGACCAAAAGGACTAATTTGTCGAGTTTGTAAAGTCAAGGACCAATTTGTCAATGTCTAAAAGTTCAAGGACTTGTGTTGCAATTTTGCAATAATTAATGTATAGGTCTAGGGTAAAGTTGGATGCTTTGAAGATGAAAACGATGCAAGATTGGTGCTAGAGTTTCGCCCTGACCGCGCTCGACCCTAAATAACAGAACCTGCGTCGCTGGAATTTCGCCACCACTTCGCTCGAGCAAGAGTGCGTCGCTAGAGTTTCGCCGGCACTTCGCTCGAGCAACAGTGTCATCCGACGTTTGGTAACTTTCCTTCCTCGCAAATTTTAAACGCTCCAGGCTACCAAGAACGACCTACTATATAAACAAAAATTTCGCTTTTCATTAACAACTCTTGGCAAAACACATAGCACAATATTTTCCTCTCTACCAAAGGATCAATTGCAAAACTCTTTACCAAATGATTCATTGAAGAAAAAAAACATCAAACACCTTTTCAAACAAAACACCTATCAAAAATCCTCACTACTTCCAGAAGATCAGTTGATTGAAGATCCGGGAAGGAGGTTGATTGGAGAATTGGAGTTCTTGTTGATGCACGGGAAATAGAAGAAATACAAGGCTGGGATTTTGGTGCAGATCTGTAGAATTCAGGAGAGCTTTGGTTGATACAGTAAGGAGGTCAGAATGTTGTTAGATACAGTCATGTCTGGCGTACTGTAAGTTGGAGTCTTCTATAGTGAATCCCTACTGGCTTGTGCCCGGAGTTTTTATCCAGTTGGGTTTTCTCCGTCAATAATTTTTGTGTTATTTATTGCTTTCTGTCAATTTCAATTCAACCAACAATTCAACATAGGTAGTTAAATCATGTGAATGAATCTGGACAACGTTTAATTTATGTGACTTGTTGCATAACTTAATTAAATTGTTAAATTCTGCATAGACACCTATTCACCCCCCTCTAGGTGTCGATTGGGTCGAACTATAGCCTTTTCAAGTGGTATCAGAGCCAAATCTCGAGTCCTGACCCATAGTTGTCTAGATGAGTCAATCACTTTCTGTACCTCCGTACTTTGACGGAAGTTATTATGCTTACTAGAAGGTTAGAATGCGTGCGTTTCTTAAGTCCTTAGATGAGCATGTTTGGTTGAGTGTGCAAAATGGCTAAAAACCTCCATCCACTATCGTATCAGGAACTGTTAACCTTACTGATATATCACT